CACACACACACACACACACACACACACACACACACACACACACACACACACACACACACAAGAGGAGGACAGGCAGACGGGCACAAGTGGAGGACAGGCAGACGGGCATCCACCGGCTACATGGGCATGCTGAAAAGATGGACGGTACGGGTAGGGTCATGTTGGAAATTTTTGTGCTTGGACATAGTAAAAAGTTGCTACGCTTACCGGAAAGCGCATAACGAAAATATTCAGGTCCAAACAACCAGGTTTTTATGGCAAACTTGAATCGTAGTCAGAGGGTGTGACAGGGCAAGTTGGCCATCAGATGGTTGTGGCACAAATACACTCAACTTTGAGAGGTGCGACACAAATTTTCCTTTGATGATTGTCTCTCAACCCCTTTTTTTTTGGTTGAAACCAAGACAATTATTATTTCGAAAAAAGAGGAGGGGCGGAGCACCCCACATAAAGGCAGGTACCGGGAGCATTACCGAATTGTGCTGCTTATGAGAATGCAAATCATTATGAATGGAGAAGAAACCACCTACAATTCCTTATGCGGGAGCTCATACTAGAGTCCCTACACACACAGTTTACTCATGCTTATTACCCGAAGAATCCCTCAAACGCTTAGAGGTAAAGGCTATGAGCTGAAACCTAAATGCTATCAACTAAATAGTAAAAACTGTAGACCAAAAGCTCAAGGCTTAAAGTCACAAGCCTAAAAGCGGCCTGACACTGGTCTAAAATCGGTTCCCCCAAAACTTGGCACTCTCCACCCTCCTCCCCTGTCTAGCCTACCATGGTTGTAAACAACCGAGTACCCTGGTCGTGGAAAAAGATGTACTGTGAACAAGGAAAAAAGCAAGCAAGCAAGCAAGCAAGCAAGCAAACAAGAAAGAAAGAAAGAAAGAAAGAAAGAAAGAAAGAGAGAAAGAGAGAAAGAGAGAAGGAGAGATAGATAATGGGGGAAAGAAAGACGAAAGAGAGAAAAGGAAAGGAGAGAAAGAAGGAAAGGTGGAGGAGGGTGAGGAGGGTCAGCAGGGTAGAGGGATTGGGGGGGACAGAGGGGAGGAGGTGAGAACAGAGAGGGGAAGAAGGGATAAGATAGCAGCCTACGGGGAAAGGGGAGGAGTGAGTAAAGTCCAGGCGTACGACTAGGCAAAGAGAGAGCCAGGTTGTGATCAGGAGCTTGCTGCTGAGGGTGACTGCGGCTGACTGGTTATCTCTGGCCCATGAATAACCAGGAACCAGTGCCGACCGACGACCACTGCGTGAGCGACCCCTTGTTGCCTTCTTGACCCAGTCCACACGAATCATTGTTCTCATCAGGCTTTGATCTTTTGGATCCCTGTTACATCGCTTGACCTTTTTTTTTTTTTTTTCCAAACAACCTCTGCCAGTGCTAGTGCTGCTGGTACGAGCAGTTACCACCGCTTGACCATTCAAGTCTAAATAAATACGATATTGTTGCGATCTTCCCAGATGACCCAAATGATCACGGATCGGATTGCTTGTGCGATGTACCCTCTTCCTTTGCCTTTGAACCAGGTAGCCGGAACTTGAACCCATATTTCTTCCCAGGGGAGAAGCAAGCCAATGAATCTGTTCCAGTGGCGTCGCCACCATCTCCAGACGCGCTTTGAGGCTGGGCAGGACCAAAAGAGGTGGTGGTGTCTTGTCCTCTCGGCTATCACATTGCTTGCGTTTGATCTTGATGTCTATTCCCCTTTCAAAGAGCCAAATTGAACAGGGGACAGCCGTGTGTGATAGCAGGCACAGTAAGCCAGAGAGAGAGCTTCCATGACGGGAGGATGTTGATAGGGACGCTGGACCCGATATCCAGCAGGTGCTGCTCCCCACCAATAGATGGAGCCTTCCTGAGCGTGCAAGAGGTGTCTGCTCTTACCAGCACCTCTAGCATGTATTCGGGCTGTTTCTTTATTAAATTAAAAAAAAAAA